TTTTAATTATTTTTTTTTACCGTGGGTTATCAAGATTCTGATGAACAAAAGAATCAAAAAGAGTTAAAATATGGGTTTGATAAAATATTATATCTTGGAACTTGCCTTTTAAATTATTTTTCTTTTTAGCATAAACTTTTTTCCCCTCCTTGTAGTTACACAATGCTTTCTTAATTATTCCGTTCCTATTTCCACAGACTGATCTTTTTCTTCTAGTCCTTCTCAAGGCATGTCCTGCTTGGTACACACTCTGCAGACCTCATTGTCTGCTAAAGCAAGTTGATACTATCATTCTTTCAGCTGCTTTTTCTTGGAGGCTTCCTCTCTGCCTTTTATTCACTTTTTATTTTATTTTTTTCATTTTTCTTTTCTCTGGGGAAGCCTATGGAAGGTATTGTAAGGGAAACATGATAAATTCCTTCAAGTAGATCATTTAACTGAGTATCTGGCTTGCTTGGTAAGTAGAACAAGAAAAAAAGTTTTGATACAGCAGAATGCATCTGAGAATGCAACAAGAGATGACTTCCACCTGAACTTCTGGGAGCAATGGTCAGCCTTCAGCTCCCTCACCAATAAATCTGGCTTCAGCTAAATGGATTTCATGTTCCACTGCAGTTTTAATGTTCCCTTAGGTTATCTAAAACCATTGCTTTTGCTGCTGCTGCAGTCAGTGGTGTTACAGAACTTAATCCTTTGCTCTGAGCCAAAAGATTGCAGTTAACTATGGGTGATGATGATAAGGAAAAGTAAAACTTCTTTTCTCTGCATCATTTATTCTTACCTTCATTTATCCATATGCCACCAGAAACACAGCTCAGGTCTGTTGTCATTTCACTAATATACTTACTTGTGTGATTTCCAAATTATCTTCCAAACAGACATACCTCTGGAGAGTTCTTAAGTATATTTTGTAAAAAAAAATATTTAAAACTATTGATCATTTCTTGCAGTGCTGCTACTAAAAGAACAGTATTCTTTTAATGGAAAAAGAAAAGGATAGGATTAGTCAATCAAGTGTCTTCAACATGGACTTTTGCTGCTCATATATATGACACCTAAATAAAGGACTTGAAGATAATTAGTAAAGCTAATCCTTAAAATTTGTTCTTTTTGTTTGTATAGAATCTTTTTCTAATACTTCAGCTTCTAATGCTTCCCAAAATTTCTCCTGCCTTGGAAGAAATGCTTTATTTCCCTGGGCATATGGTTTCCATTGCTGCAGGTAAATTGGCAAACAGGTTCACTGAGACAGTTTGACAGAATTCTCTCAGCTTGCAAGAAGCAGAATGTGAAGGAAGAAAGCACGCCTCAGACCTGCTGCTGACAGTCGTCATGGAAATGGGAGGCATGGGTTATCCTCCCCAAAAGAAGCCTGTGTTTTGGAGGCTGTAATGAAGGTGACCATCAGTAGGCTTGCTGCCTTACGCTGTCAGGGGATGATTGGTAGGAATTGAGAAAGATCTGTTTTGGGGAGAAGGAATCAAGAGTAAAAAGTTTCTACCAGTGTCTTCACTTCTTTTAGGAAGAAGAAAAGGACTCTCAGGGCATCTGCCCCTGCTGTGGACCAATGAAAAGCTACCAGCCCTTTGCCCCGGTAGAGCAGGCAGGGTGCTGACTGAACAGTGGCCGCTGTTGGCTTGAGATACTGCTTCCTGTTAAGTTAAAAACTACAAGCTGTGTGTCAGTTTTCAACCAGCACGATCAATTTACTGCTGGTATGAGGAGGTGGGACTCCCTTTGCCTTTTTGGACTGACCTGTGTTTATGCTGGTGGTGAATTAGGTGAAGTGTATTCATTCTGGATTGATTGTAGAACCTTTGATTAAATTATGTTTTTCTCTATTTTCTCATGAAGGGCTACATCTGGTCATGTAGGAATAGCTTGTAACAACACTGAAACATAAATTATTTGATGAACTACTTAAGACTATTCACTTAATGCATGATAATCCTGTGAACATGTTAACGAGCAGCAATTCTCTGATGATTAAACTGCTTTAAAGTGTCTTTGTACTCATATGTCATTAGAATGAACTTGGCACTTCTAAAACATCCATTATTCATCATGTTCCAGTGTTGCATCTGACTGTGTATCACTTTAATTTCTCTCACGTAACAAAGCAATCTATTCATTACAATAGTTTGAACTGTTTTCTAAATCAGAAAACGCCTAGTTAAATATACAGCATTACTTATCTTTACAAGTATAGTAAAGCAAAAAATAACATCCTGAATTGTAATTACATACTTAGTGTATTTAAGTATGCTAATTAAAACTAAATGGATTTTTAGAAAAAAACTTTGTTGACATCAATGGTATTGTTATTCGGGGAAGCAGAATGGGTAAAATACCTTGCTGAAAGCACAAGGTTGATCTTTCTTTCTGAAAGAATTCAGCGAATATTTTCTCAGTAATCCTTTTTTTTCACATGCATTTATTGTCTTTGTGAGAAACAGAGGAGGACTGGAAACATGAATACTACTTAGAAATATATATATATATATTTTAAATTATTGCTTCTGGCTTCTCTGTCTTTTAATTTTACAAGTCCTGGGTCCTTCCGTATGTTGTGAATCCTATGAAATCCTATGCTAGCTTTGGTCCTTTTTGAATTCATGTGTGATGACTGTTCCAGAAGTGGTTCTTCACTTCCTAGCAAGCCCATGAGATGTATCTCAGGTAGTGTCAGACTGATGATTGACTACATGTTTGAAGATTTTCTTCCCTCCTGGGCTTCAGAGGCTCTGACTTCTGCAAGCAAAAGACAGATTTGTCAGAGGAGTTATACAGAATACCAGCTAAAAGGACCACTCAAAGAAGTATCAACAGAAATATATTTTCTGTTCAGTGTAGCTAAATGAATTTCCAGTTGAACTAGTAAAATTCTGGTAAATAATAGTGGGATATGGTCTAATAACCTCCATAAGAGCCAGAAATATTTATTCTCAGAGTGCATGAGGGTCTTGCAAAACTTACACAGGTATTCAGTGGCTAAACTTTAAATTGTTAGATTTTGAAAAACACTTCAGTCTTAATTTTGCTTTAAAATTATTCTTGGGTGTGCTGGGAAAATAGTGGATAGTCACTTATGCTGTGCTTATTTTTCACAGATTTTTTGATCAAATGTTTTTAGCATGTTCTGATTCAGTCTGTTGCTGAAGTAGGTTCTTTTGAACAGCTATGGAAGGTTTACAAATGCTTTTCTAGTAAGCAGTAGAGGTAGGAAGTCCTTGATTGTATTAACTCTTTCAACAGCTCTTGATACAATAAAAGTCAGCATATTAACGGTTAGCCTTTGGAATTGTTCAAATAATGTGAATAACATATGTGTGAAATATATGGAACAGTTGTGTGGTAAGAGGAAGATACTGAAAGAGGTGGACTTGGAAAGATTGCAGTAAACTTGATCTCTCTGTGTTTGGCTAACAATATTATTTAAATCAGAATAAAGAAAGAAACCGATCTCACTTTTTGGGCTCACTTTTTACATTCCTATATACAAAAGTGGGCTCACTTTTTACATTTCTGTCTCTTCATGTGAGTCACAGTCCTCCTTTGTTCATAGCGCAATAAATATGACTTAGTTTGCAATGAGTTAGAAATTAATTGCGGAGAATTTCTACTGAAACATTTCAAAACTACACTAGTATATAGCCTTTTTCATCAATCTTTCTTTATAAAAAGGCAGTTTATGGAACATGATATTCAGTGCATTACCTATGACAGTATCAAAACTGAGTTAGTTTCTCAAGCTTTTGTATGGCATTTTATGGTCAGACTACTATGTTAAGCTTTTCCTTCCAACTAATCTTAATAGTCTTTCTGGGAATATAACTATAGCTTTGGCTACATTAATGTGTCATTCAATCTACAGAAAGCCTTAACTTGTATATGGAAGTCATTCTGAAGTGTTTCTTAATGAGGAATCACAGAATCACAGAATGTTAGGGGTTGGAAGGGACCTCCAGAGATCCTCGAGTCCAACCCCCCTGCCAGAGCAGGACCATCTACTCTAGGGCAGGTCACACAGGAACGCATCCAGACGGGTCTTAAAAGTCTCCAAGGCAGGAGACTCCACAACCTCCCTGGGGAGCCTGTTCCAGTGCTCTGGGACCCTGACAGTAAAGAAGTTCTTCCTCATGTTGAGTTGGAACTTCCTGTGCTCCAGCTTGTATCCATTGCCCCTCGTTCTATCACAGGGTACAAGTGAAAACAGGTTACCCCTTTCTTCTGAACATCTAGCACTCATGTATTTATACACATCAATTAGATCCCCCCTAAGTCTTCTCCAGACTGAAAAGCCCCAGGTCTCTCAGCCTCTCCTCCTAAGGCAGGTGCCTCAGTCCCCCAGTCATCCTCGTAGCCCTCTGCTGGACTCTCTCTAGTAGATCTGTCTCTCTTGAAATGGGGGCCCAGAACTGTGAAGAGACAATACAGGTGAGGTCTCACCAGGGCAGAGTAGAGGGGCAGGAGGACCTCCCTTGTTCTACTGGACACACTTTTCTTCATGCACCCCAGGAGACCATTGGCCCTCCTGGCCACATGTGCACACTGCTGTCCCATGGAAAACTTGTCCACCAGGATTCCAAGGTCCCTCTTCACAGAGCTGCTCTCTAGCAGATCTCCTCCTAACTTGTACTGGTGCATTTCATTACTCCTGCCCAGGTGCAGGACTCTGTACTTATCCTTGTTGAACGATCCTCAATAGATTCCTCTTTGCCCTGTTCTCCAGTCTGTCCAAATCTCGCTGAATGGCCGCACAGCCTTCAGGTGTGTCATCCAAACCTTCCAGTTTCGTGTCATCAGCAAACTTGCTGAGAAGACACTTTTATACCATCATCGAAGTCATAAATGAAGATGTTGAACAGGCCTGGACCCAGCACAAATAACAATATGAACTGTTATTTGCAATGCAAATAACCTACAGTTTCTATAAAATTCTAGATAAGGAATTTTTTTTAAAACTTGCATTAATATGTCTCTGTTTCTTTAACACACAGCCCCTGTCCTCCCTGGGGCATATCAGCAAAGCCAGTCCCAAGGATATGGATACATGCACCAGACCAGTATGTCATCCATGAGGTCCATGCATTCACAGCCTCATTCAGCAAGTCTGGTGAGTATTGGATTTAAAGAATGATTTTATTTGGTAAGCAACGTCATCAGCTGTTATGAAACCTCTTAAATATGAGTGTGTTGGTCACCTTGAATTGTATAGTTGGACTATTTGACTGTTTGAGTCCTAAAGGTAAGTAATAGCCCTCATGTATAAAAAAGATGAAGTGACTGAGGACAGGGGCAACAACTGTGTCAGAATGCATTAAGAAAAATCATTTATGATCTCTAGAAGGCAGAGAAATAAATGAGTCTTCTACCTGCTAAAGCAAATAGTAAACACTTGGACAGTATTTCACAGGCTGAGCTTTGATGTTATGCTTTGTGATGAATTCAGGCTCCTAGCACTGGATGAAAACCACTGATCACTTAAGATCACTCTCTTGGTTTAAAGTTCTTTAAGATTTTTTTACTTGCTAATTTTGTGTTAGCAGGCTTCGTGCCTATCGCTATTACTCAGCTCTGCTTATATAAAGCTAGCTCAGATTCCATACTGGTGTGCCCTTTCTAATTCAACAGAACAATAGTGCACCCATTCGTGCCTGATCCAAATTGGGGTATATTGCCGGGTGACTGAGAAGAAGCTTTATCATGAAGCCATGGCCATAATCATGGAGTTCTTAATTGTCATGGGTGGGAATGTAAAGCTGTAATGAATACTTCATTTTGAAAGTAGCAGGTCATGGAAGGAGAACTGAATGGGTATTCATCTGGGTTTTTTTAGGACGTTGAGCTTCTTTTTTTATTTTGAACTCTTTATATATAAAGTTCAGATTTAATGGTTATAATTTTTTTTTTTTAATCATATCACTTGCTGGAGATTTCATAGGTCTGGTCCAGCCACCTTCTACCATAAAAATATTGTCTTGTAATTTTGAATTTTAAACTCTTTTGAATGGATGTATAGTTACTACCTCTGTCACATTTTTTTAGAGATAAAGAAGTATTTAATGCTGAACCAAACTTAGAGCTTGCTGAATATTTGCCAAAACTTCTATTTTTCTTTAAGGCTGAAGCTCCATGGTATGTTATATTGCAAAGATCATGGCATTGTAGGATGTTTGGGTGCTTTCAGCCTTTGCAGTTTCTAAGGTGCTTGGGGGTTGAGGGGTCTAACTTGCTGGGAAGTCTGGGATCCAGATACGTACGTCTTTGAGTGAGCCAATACCCTGGGAAATTCTTTGGACACCTGCATGACAGCTGTGAAGCAGCTGATACTGGAATGAACCAGTAATTTCCAAGGATATCATAAAGCACTTGGGGAGCTGCCTGCTTTCCAAAAGGGCTAGAGTCCAAAAAGTGGGACACCTGGAAGCCTTGGCTTTGCCAGCAGATTTACTAGTCAGTGGTGAGCAAAGCAGCCTTCAAACCCAGCAGATAGAGAACAGAGGTGCCTGCAAATCTTGAAATGCACTTAGCAGCCTTCACAGGTAGATGTCTACTATCTCCCTGATATCTCTGTCTCCCAGTGAGTTACCTGGTGGACTGCTGTTGAAACAATATCATCAGAATCATCATTTGCCTCTCCTTCCAGAACTGGGAATGCAAATGTAATAAGGAAAGGAAGGAAGTGAAGTTAAAGCATTTAAAAAATAAAGGATTGACTTAATGTCTCTTTTCATCAGGATTTTTTATCCATTTTGTGAAAGTTGTCCTTTGACACTCCTTTAAATGATAATAGTTGTTCATCCCATGGGAAAAAATGAAGTGGCAAATGTCATAATTTGAATGGATCTTGTTGCTGCTAAAAACTGAGTGAGTTTCCTTGAAGATGCTAAACCCCAAACAGGACTGATGTCTTGGTGCTGACTACTTACTTGTAGTCTGGTAAGGAAGACAGTGTGATCTTATCACCCCCACAGGATGATGATTCTGCTCCAAAAGAGGCATCTCAGATGCAGCTAGAAACCTGGCATGCTCCTTTGTCTTTCTGCCTTCATGTCAAAAGATTGTATTTTCTTCAGCTTGTGCAGCTTATCCAGGTGTGCTGAGCATGTTACACTCAGCAACTGGAACTGCACAAGGGGTTCCCAGTGTGTGCTGTGGGAAACCTCTGGCTGGTGATGTGTTTGAGTGTAGTGATTTGCACAGACTGAAGATGGAAGGTAGGTTGAGAGTGCTTTTCAAATGCAATGTGGTCATGCAGTAGGAGAACTTGGGTTCATTGTTTTCAGTTGCTTGTTTGGTTCTGGGCTTGGAGCAGCACTGCCAGAGGTGCAGCCTTGTTTGGCTAAGCCAGGCAGAGGGAAGGAAGAACTGAGAGAAGAAAGTAAGAAGGGGGAGAGGCAGGAGGAAAGAGATCCCAGCCCAAATACTGGTCTCACACACAAGCAGTTTTTGAGGCTTAACTAAAAGTGATGAAGGTGAAAAAGTCAACCGTAGATGCCTGAGTTTGGCCAGGACATCTCTAGGGTAGGAATGATTAAGATCCCATGGGTTTTATCAGGGTGGGGGTGACTGGGGAGTTAGCTGCAGTAAAGCCTGCTCCTTTCAGCTGGTTTGTTGCACTGATATTAAATCAAGGTCCCCAAAAGACACAAGTTCATTTCATTACCGTGTCCACCAATTTCCTATACCGAGAAATAGAAGTTTTCTAAATTACCAAATTCTGATTTATTTAATTTTGAACATGATCGTAATAAAAGCTCTGTGTAGATTTTTTTTTCCCTAGATAAATTGTGCTATTTTCTGATTCTTAACTTTTGCTCACTTTCTGTGAGCAGTTTTGCATAATGGGCTGATTTAAATTGTTGCTAAGAGTACAGAAAGTTTTATAACGGATGCCTGAAGGCTGTTTGGCTCTTGGAAAGATAGCAGGATGTTCTCATGTCTTTAGAAGACTAGAAGAGGTAGGAAAACAAAACCTAGGGTGCAAGTTAGCTTTTCTTCATAGCTGTTCTATGTGAAGGACCCTGCAACAGGTACTATTCCTTGCAAGGAGCTATTTATAGAGTAAGTATAAACTGGTGGGTGAAGCGGAAACACACATCTGTTAGCTCACATCTGGCTGGGGAGCTGGGAATATGAGAGCTGGGCTTCAGGACTTCATGTGCACAAGACTTGCTGTTGTCTAAGCAGTAGCTGTGAGTTAGACCTTTGAGAAGGTGGGACATAAGTGTGTATTCGACTGTTTTACAAAACCCCAACATTTTCTTATACCCTCTTATGCTCTCAGTACCTGCTAAACTCATTACTGCCAGGAATAATTCACTAAAAGGCATTTTAAAAATCCCTGCTTTGACTCCTTTAAGCATTGTAATTCTCAATTATATAGCCCAGACTACACTCTGAAGTGATAATTAGGCATTAAATACTAACAGGATTATTATGGAGATTTCTCCTGACAGCCATTTAGCACCTAATTAGGTGTTAAGGCCATAAATTTAGGTTTCTCAGCAGCATTTAGAGCCCTAATAAATTTTTTTAAAGTTTGAAATCACCAGCTTGTCTTCACAACTGTGCCACCAGAGTGATGCAGTCAAACTGCTGTAAAGGAGACAACAGTGGTATATCCTATAACCTGATGTTCTAAGAATGAGTGAGCATCCTTCTGTGTGAACAAAAACTTCTCTGTTTTTCTTCCCATTATATGTGATTTTAATAAAACGTTTACTCTCTTCCCCCAGTCTTTGCCCTTTTAAAGGAGACGTATAAGCATGGCTCAGAGGAAAATCTATTCTCTGCCTTGTGCCACTTATGGACTTACTAATATTTTTCTTAAATGGACATTTTTAAAAAAAAAATGTTTAAAGGATTAACTACTGCTGAGCTTGTTGTAGTAGTGTATTTTTCACTTTTTTTTGTTGTTGTGCAGATTTTTTTTTTTTTTTGAGTTGGGTTCAAGGTTCAGTGGAGACATCAGTTGAAATAGTTTGAAAAATAAGATTATTAAAAGCAGTTACCAGGTTTTTTTCACTGCTAGTTATTTAGTTTGTGAATGTTTAAGGAATCTTTTGTGATGATAGAACCCTCCCAATTAGTTGCTTCAATGTAATGTGTAAACAATGATTTTTTTTCATCACCTTCCATGAACATTTGTAAGATGTTAAGGAACCACTAGGAAACCACATACCTCTGGCTGAATATTGCTCTTGATCACAGCCTGTTGGGCAGCAATATTATGAGGCATGACAGAGAAAATTATACAGAGCAAGACTAAAATACAGTTCAGAGTAGGCTTGTTCAGAAAGGTAGCGGTCTCCAGTGCTTAACCAGGAGTTGATTTCTCTGTAGTGTTTAATCTGCGCTAACAACAGTAAATACAGAATCAAGACAGAAAGTGTGTTTCTAGCATGGGAACAGTAATAATGAGTTGTCCTGTAGTATTCGGATTACATGATGACACCTTTCCAACGTGTGACAAGTGGCCTAATCACTGTATGTGGAGGAATCTCCATCTTTTGTGAAAATAATTTTGTTAAATACCCTCAAAAAAGCATATATGTGATGGACTGAAAATAATCAAGAGTTGTTTTCCTCAGCTGGGAAGAAGACCAAATTTTTGTCTCTTAAAAAGTTCGGACAATAGTACTAGGCATTAACTCACAGTGACTAATTTTGCCTTTTTTTCTCATTAAATCATTGAACCTGAAAAATTAAACTAGATATGGTGACATATCAAAAAACACTGATAGCGAAACTGAATATTATCAGTGATGCTTGAGCTGCTGTTGACTTCTGTTGAGAAGCAGAGTAAGGAAAATAAAGTACTCCTGAGAATTTTAACATGAGCTGGTTTTCTTCTGCTGCTAAGAGGAGACCGTTCCCCTGAGTTTGAAAACCCGCACTGAATTACAGTAAATTATAGCGTTTTGTTGGTTGTGAGTGGAAGAAAATAGTCTATTCAGAAAGATAATGGACATCTTCGCTCACAGTGGACACAGGTGTAGAGAAATGTGGCTTAGCTAATGATAGGACTTAATGATTCTTTTACCTGCATATGCAAAAATGAGTATTCATAAAAATTATTTTAGCAGTCTTTTTGAATATATGCCCCTCCCCCCCTTTTTCTTTTTTTAAATTTGATAATTACATATTCTTAAATTGGGGTGAAATCCTAATGAAATGGAGGATGTTGAGTGAGGTGACAAAGTTAATAACCTGAATGAAGACTATTTCTTTTCTGTAGCAAAGGCACAGCTTTTTGGGAATCATGACTAGCTATGACTGGATGTAATGAGCTGATACTAGTGAATATATGAAACAACTGTTGGAATATTTCAAGAGGCAGTGAATGGCTTGAAAGCTGTTTGTATGAAGACTTTGGACCGTGCAGATTCACAAAAATAATGTATTTTGGTACTCAGAAAAAGGGGCTGTATCCACTGTGTATTTGAGGGGGTGCAGGGTGTACTGTTGCTTTTCAAGAGATAACTTGTGATTTGTCTCTCTGCCTTGCTCCCTCTTTTCTTTTTCCTGCTCTTTTCATTTTCTTTGTGCAAAGAAGAGAAGGAATCTATCTCAGTCTAGGCTTGAGACTACAGCCTTGTTTTCTTTCCTTCAACAGAGAACATACAGAGCTATGTATGACTACAGTGCTCAAGATGAAGATGAAGTTTCCTTCAGGGATGGTGATTATATCATCAATGTACAACCAATTGATGATGGCTGGATGTATGGTACTGTTCAGAGAACTGGGAAAACAGGAATGCTTCCAGCAAATTATATTGAGTTTGTTAACTAATTTTTGTCTCTAGTCCTTGAGCTTTATTATGATTTACTCAAAATCTAACCTCTTAGAAGAAGTCAGAATAATCTTTTAAGAGTACATTTTCATTATTTTATCACTGCTGTTAAGTCTGCATTCTCACTCAGAATCCAATTTAGAGTCCTTTAAAGTAAAGATAAATAATCAAGAAGAATCTCAGAGCCTTGAAAACAGCATTGCTTATAATAGTGCTTCCTCAACATGAAAAACGTACATGGAAGCCTGGTGCTGCCAGTCCTATAAAGATTTCTGTCAATTAGCTGTAAAGGGGAATTACCTTTTCCCTACTTTCTCAAAGATATTGTTTCTTTATAATAACCATAAAATTAACTCAGTTCTTATGGCACTCTGAAGTCACAGGAGATTAACATACAGAGTTTGTACACATCTTCAGATTATTAGGGAGGTGTTTAATATTTGAGCAGTTAGCATCCTAATAAAAAAAAATAAGAGTGGATAATTCAATCATTTGAAATAATGGCAAGTAATATGCTAGTTAAAAAAAAAAAAAAAAACACAACAAAAAACCCCTATTGCCCAGCAGCCTTACAGTAAACAGGTCGATTTTGACATCAGAAATTTCCTGACTCTTGCATACCCACAGTTATTCCTAGATTACCTTTCCCTTATTTCAACAGTGAACTCTTCTATCAGCTTTGCTTGCATCCCAGTCTGTCAGTTAGACCCATGCCTGGATTCATGGTTCTTTGGTATCTTTAACACAGAAAATTCCTTGCAAAGACTATCTAGAGTATAAAACCTGTCAACTCTTCTGTTTCCGTCTACTAATACTTAGCATTTCAATAGAAATTAGGGCAATGTACAACCAATACTTCATGTTAATACCTTTACCTTCACCTGTACTGCTGTAAATAAATATCCAATGCGATGCCCCAGTTCTGTGCAGTCACACAAAGCCTGCAGTCACATCCCTCCTTCTTACCACAGGTAACTTGCTTAATGGCTGCTTTGCTGATGAGCTAATGTAACTACCCCTGCTGCAGAGATACTTGCATCTCCATTGAGGAGTGGAGGAGAGCTCTGATTTTGTAGTGCATTTCAGCTCAATGGGCTATTGTTTCAGTTTCCTCCAAAAATCTTGGTGATCCAACAGTGGGTTGTACGCTTGCCAAATGACTAATGATGGAGAAATGTTTTCTTTTACTAGTTTAATCTTCCTCATAACTGACACTGAAGGGAAAACTAACCAAGCAGAAATCGAACATATGCTACACTATCATGCTTCAGTTTAGTCATCCATAGAAAACAGTAAAAATATTCTGCTGACAAACTTTCACATATGCTATTTGGTGTCCATTAACTTATGATCAGAACTGGGAGATCCAGGTCTTAGTCTGCGAGGCTGAGAAGATCAAATAATTGGTAACATAATGGACCTGTAAGAGAGATTGTGTCAGCAAGATTTTTTTAGGTGTTGCTAACACATGGCTGATCCCAGCTGCCAAACAGAGTGGAATGACTGCACTTAAAAAAAAAAAAAAAAAAAGTCCATGACTGTGGAAGTGGCTGTGTTTTCTTGTCTGCTGCCTAATTTCAAGGCTAAAGCTGACCAGGAGCATCTAAGTTCAAAAATTACAATTTAAAATCAGGGATGCAATACTGTGAATATGCAATCTGTATGGGTGACACTGCTGTCATTTAAAACTCTTCAAAGGTTTGCACCTAGAATTGCTCCTGCAACAGACCCTTAACACCTTACTGGTGACTTCCACATTAAATTAGAAGCTTTGCAAGTCAAATGGCTTTTTCAGAAGGCTGATGTGGTAAGCTGAGCTAGAAGCTCCTTTCAGAGCACTCTGCTTCTGTGCTGGTTTTCATCAACAGCCATCAACAGCAAGAAGTGAAATCCCTTTTTATGATGGCTGGCAAATTTTTCTGATGATGCCTGAGGCAGAACTTGCTATCACTTGCTGCTGTGCTGCTCTATTAGATGTGTAATGCTGGCAACAATAAAAACAAGTTGTCAGTTTGTTAACCAGATGTGAATAAAGAGAAAGATAGGGAATAGATATATTATAGCAAGTTGCAATTTTTATTGACCGATAAAAATGAGGTCTCCACCTATAGAGACAGTAAGGAGGTGACTTGCAGTGTTGAACATTGTGTATATAGTGAAAAGTAAATCAGAAAATGAGCATTTGATGACTTTAGAGGACTATATTATGCTAAAGAATGGAAATAAAAATTTCCTTTACCAATTTTGAATATTCATTAGCCTGGCAAAGGAGTTAACACAATGTGTAAAATAAAAAAAGATCAGTAAAAGAAAAGAGTATGTGAAATTGTATTTCTCTTGGGAATGGGATGTCAGCAGAATTATTAGAATCCCTTTTAAGTTACTCATTCATGTAGTCAGGTTTTTATGTTCTATATGCTTAGTAATTTGTGTTCATATGGAATTGTTCCTGCTTTTTGATGTAAAACAAACTTCAGTGTCATTATGCAGCTTTGTTCTAAGCAATGCTATCAAAGGCCCAAAATTATCAGAGTGCAATTATAAAAATGGTTTTTAAGATCTAAAATTTGTAAGCTAGGAAAGTAAGTCAGCAACTAAATTGTGCTAGCACAGGTTTTACAAGGCATATGTTGGAGCCTGTCATGTGTAGTGGGATATAGGGGTGAACAGATGTTCTATGCTATCTTGTCACCTTTAAAGTGTATACTCCTTTATAACACAACATGTTCCCCTCACTGCACTTTCTTCCTGTAGACGACATTAAAAGCAAAAGACTTTTAAGGAGCCAAACTTCCTAAGGTTTTCCAAAGTTCAGGTTGGAAGTTCACACATTCCCATTTTATGCATTTTAGAAATAAAGATGATAAAGTGTGTTGTAATTCTTGCTGTTATGAGAATAAATGTAGAAAACAACATAGAGCATATTCATACATATATACAAGAACAAATGGGTGCCTTGCTTTTCATTACTTTTTCTTGCCTGGCTAATCATTTTCTAAACAAAGCTACTTACAGATACTGCAGTTGTAATTTTTCATTATGGAACATTAGCATTTAATCTTGATGAAACAAGGTTTTCTTGATTACATTTGACATACCATAAACCACTTCAGCAGATTGGGATTTGACAGAGAATCACCTCCCATGGGTTATATTTTTGACAAATGTGTCCTTACTGAGTGTTCCTCGTGGATATGGAAGGACTCCAATACTTGGGACAGGTACTAATTCTAGTTTTGATTGTACAGTGACTACATGTCATCTTGTAAAATGAAAAAGAAATGATAAACACAGAAATCTTTGGCAGAAGGTGGTACAGGGTATAAAACGTTAGCTTTTAATTATATTGGTTAATACTCCATTTAAAATGCAGAATATGCTTTAGTTAGTAAATGTTTAAATACTATACTGAAACAGACAAAAGAAGCTGTTGAAAGAAGATCTCCAAACTGATGTGCTGGCAAATGCAAAGTACTGGTGAGCAGTAGTAGAAGAATAAACCATTTTGCACTGCTTTAGTGATTTTCTCCAGCTTTATGCCGTAGGAACCCCATTTCTCCTTTTGAAAGAAAACCTGAAAGCTACGTTTCCTAAACTGCCTGCACTACAACAGTATATTCAAAGGAATTTCATATGCTTCTTGTGTCTGATAAATAGAATTTGCATATTGTACTTAAGTTGTAATCCAGTTGTTGTTGACATTTGTTTAATTATTATTTTAGGGGGGGAAATAAGCTATACTGTAGCATTTCAATCATGTGTATTTAATATTACTATTAGAAATAGCTAGACCATTGGAAGACAGCAATGACTGTATTGACATTGATTAGCATGATGTGGAAACTCTCTCAGCTGTTGGTTTTTGCAGTATGATATAAAAAGCAAAGATGAACCGCTGTGCAGTTTGGCTTATGTTTGCTTTAAAGTGTGTAAAGTTTTAGTTATTTTGCAAAACTGTACTGTATTTGGGAATATACAGCTATGAAGGTAACAACTGTTTTTCAAAGGACAGATATACTTACTCTTGGATCATATGTTGTATCATCTTAATTTGGCTTTTGTTATGCAAAAAGTTAACACCAGCTATTAAAATATATTTTAGTAGAAATGCTTTCATTCCTGTTTCTTCCTCTACACTGTGAATATTCAAGCCTTGGTGGACTAGAGCAACATCATGCTGCCCAAAGTATTTACCTATGCAAACTAGTTCACATTTCAGTTATGTCACAGTGGATGTAACATAATTTATTTTGCATAACACTAAACGTCATTCAAATAAAGCATTAAACCCAGCATTATGTATGTATTATATTCATAAACAGTACTCTGCAAAGTTACAATACCCATCAATATAAGGTATTAAGGATGTATAGTGTTTTAACTAAGGAAGCTTTGAGTCTTCAAACTTAAGTAGAATATTTAGCACTATTATTCTTCAAGCCTGATCTCAGAAAATAGTTTCCTAAAACATTTTTTTTCAGAGGCACTCTCTTCTCAGAAGGTGAATTTACTTTTTCAGTCTGTATTTGTAACCTTTCAACGGAACAGTGAGTTACATTCCATGTCCCTTGGTTTGTTTCAAGAAGCAAAGGTAGTAAGGAGGTCTGCTGATTTGACTGATGCCATTTTGCTGGTCTTTGAATAGGCATCTAGCTAGGTGTGCTCTCAGTACAACACTAATACAAATGAACTGGATTACTGGCCTCTTTAAGACAATTTATATAAAAATTTGGTTCTTGGTTTAGCTCTATTCACTTTCACAAGCGAATTATTTTTACAACATTGTAAGGCAGTTTAAGTTAAAATAAAATGCAGAAGTATTTGGAACTGCTCTGCCTGTAGTTGAAGATTATTATGCTTAGGGACACGTCTTACTTGAGTGCTAAGTGTACAGTCCAATGGGTTGCATTAGAATCCTTTAATTTTTATCAAATATTAGTTTGAAGAAGGCTGTTAAAAGTGAGGACAAATGGAGCTGGTTAGTACGTTCCAGGTAAGTGACATGCAGTTGCTACCACGCTGATTTTCTCCTTAAGAAATACATGTTACCATTTCCTATGAAGTTTAATTAGTTACAGAGCTTTGATTCTATGTACAGCAAAATCCAATCTTTATACATACTGTAGAAAATAGCAGTTTTCAATAAGAAAAAGATTTTAAGAGCTGCCAAAATAGACTTCAAGCACTCAGAAAGTGTTTTATTTGTAAATCCCTCCAAAACCTGCTAGAGCAGCTGAGTACTTGATTTTCTATTTCCTAAATATATATTTCAGGTGAAAGTTTTGCTTCTGAGAGCAACTGATGTGAAGTTGGTAGAAGTCATATATTCAGCATCTGAAGGATTATGTCCTTGTTCAATAGCAGTGACTGAAATGAAGAAAGTTTTCCTGTCTTTACTGAC